TGACTTTTTTACGATTGTTAACTGACTTTAGGGCCGCCCCGTATATTCTGCTGGAAGAAATAAACAATAACTTAAAAATTAAAATACTTAATTGAAACGAGTGACATTTTATTTTTTTTAAATTATCTTAAATTAAAATAATTATAAATTCATAACCGAAAAATCAGTCGAGTTGCGTAACTTTCCAGGCAATAACATTTGAAATTGCCTGTGGCGCCATCTGTTAAAGATAATTTAAAACTTTTTATATTAATTATTATTATAAAATGGCGAAAGGCTTAATTTTGAGGGTAGTAGTGGGTTATATAAAAAATTGTAAATGCTAAAAACGAGTAAAACCTTTGACCCTCCCTTCTATCTCCCCATCCACTTGACCTTTAACCACTAAAATTTAATAGCATTGGTGCCCTTAATATGCAAACCTCCTTGCAAAATTGCCCATAGGATAACGCACCACTGAGTCATGTGTGGTTCCTGCCTTAAATACTTATCTGCTTTCACCTCGTATAAGCTTCTATAAAGGATAATTAAAGATGTACAGTACAATGAAGATTATTATTCATGAAGGCATTGATTACTTTAAGAAATAAGTGTTTAAAATAATGAAATACAGCGTAAATCAATGATTACAAAGAAAAATAAGTGTGTGTATTTATCAAACCTTCCTTAAATGAGCCTTTAACATCAAGCCTTAAATTATATCGAATGATATACGTTTGCAATTTCTGCAATAAATTATGCTGTAAGCAGCGGATGAAGATGTCTCGCTGAATACACTCTATCAACAATGGAGTATTAAAGTATTATACACAACCCATGACACATTATTCATAGGTTTATCATCATCTTAGTTATGTAACGTGGGGATTTTTGTAAGAACAATTACAATAGGACAATTTAAAGCTATCGCAACTTGTACACAGTTCAAGCCAATGTAACAATAAAAGTAAACAATGGTACTGTACACGTGCACTCTCTCTAGTTTCTAAAGGATTCACGTGTAATTTCAACAAATCAATTTTATTGAAGGATCCACGTGTCACTGGCCCGAACCCCAAATGACCCCTGCTTATCCCTTTCTTTCTGGTCCTATATGAAGGTATAAAAATGTCAGATTTTAGGAGAAAGTAAAGAGATTACCGTTTTAAGTTTCGATTGTTCCCAATCGATACGTGCAACAAAGAAACTTCTGATCTATCAGAAATGTAATTTAGGTGAATTCGATCGAATGCATAATTTATAATTTCTTAAATATAAAAATTATTTATAACTCGATAAATTTTTAATCTATCGATAATACATTTTCTATTATTTCATATATTTTTTTTAAGTGTATGCCTGCCTGTCTATCAGTTATACAATATAAATTTTATATTAAATTCTTTTAATGGGAGGTCTTAAAAATTGAGGTAATATATATATATAGTTATTAGGGGATCCATGCCATTAAATTTTGGTGGTTAAAGGTCGAGGGGGCGGGGAGTTAATACGAAAACTTTATACCAAAGAGGACAGAAAGGAGGACATGTCCTCTATTTTGTTACCGTATTCTCTCCTTTATTTTACGAAATACCGTTGAAAGTAGTTAACTTGTAATAATAACTGAAAAATATGTTAAATAATTTCAACAGATCAATCAATTAAACCTGTTTAAACACTCCTTTTCAGAACAATTTGTCCTCCATTCGTAATTCATCATTAGGCAAGCCTAGTCTTTAAAGAAAAAAAATGTTCTTCAGATTACTAACAGGAGTATTTAGTGTTAAAAATTACATTGCAGAGAGAAGGTTCCCCTCTTTAAACGTGTTTTAACTTCATATTCGTAAGGCAAGCCTCAAATAAAGTTTACTTTATGAAAATGAATTTTAAGCGTAATGAAAGAATGACAAGTAGCGCGCTAAAAATTGTGAAAGAAACGGTAATAAAATTCATATTGTGAAGTAATTAACAATGAAAATAATAAAATATATATTGTGCAAGAGTTTGAGGCCACTTAACCAAAATGTGACTCTCCCCATTATTAGTGCTCCAGAGATTGGACGAATAAAACCATAGAGAAATCAGTTGGCCACGTGGAGTATTCCGGTTTTTCTTCACGTGTCTAACACCTAAATAGGGACCAGTTTCCCATAGAAAGTCCTCCCGGAAGGCACGTGTTGCGCTTCCTTATTCCATCAATTCTACAATCCCACGAGCTTTCCACATTTCACTTCTATTTGATATATTCTGAGATAAAGTCGAATGCACAGGGAAATTGTTTTGGGAGTTTAACCACTCCTAATTTTCTTTAATTCCACCCTTTTCAAAATCCTGCTCATTAAAAAAAACTGTGAAAAATTAAACACGTGGCAGGCAAACTGGCAATTTTAAAAATAAAATCGAACACGGGAGACAAAAGAAATATCACAAAGGTAACGAACGTGACGAGCGAAAACATTGCAGAAAAATTACAAATCATGGAATATTTCCAAGTCAATTCTGAACATTGCCATAGCACGCGGCTGCTCGTTGTATTACGTAACAATTTCAGTTGTTTCGAATCGATATTTGTATTGTCTGATTTGGAATTTCTGCAGAACTTCGTTCTTTATAACACACGACAATTGCAACTGTCACGTGCATTATAATGCTTTGACAGACGTCAAAGAATATCTTCTGACGTATGTACAGTACATCACATAGAAAACACAACCAAGTTCGTATAGAGAACGCCATGACAATATTAGGAATTAACTCTGATAGAATTTATAGAATTCAATCGTGGTGCACCCCCAACTTTTATGAGAGGAACAAGATTAGAATTGAAAAATAAACCTCGTAAAGCCCAAATTTCAAGATTAATTTGGAGGAAGGATTCGTCTGAATGTGAAATGAAGCTCTTTGTTTTGACCGAATCGACTGTAAAATTTTCGAATTGTTTTGTTTGATGTCACACTAAAGCGAGGGTTCTGATCAAAGTAATCGATAACAAATCCCTGGAAACAATGGACTTAAAGAATCAATAGATTGAGGGGGAAAAAACTTTTAATTACTTCAGCTAGACAGATAAAAAAGAATTAAAAAAAAAGTTCTTGATAGGATTCTTTTAATGCCCTGTAGGAACACCTAACTTCATTAAAATTCTGTAGTTAATTCCTAATTTTACACTGAAAATTACTTTCAATTGTTTATTTGATAATGCAGTGTCTTAAGTGTTCTTTGCAAGAAAGAGTTGTTTGTTTCCACTAATTAGTTAATTGAATTTATTATACTTTCAGCCACGCTAAGTGTTAATGGCCCTTGAAATTATGTAAATAATTCATGTGTGATTCTTTACACAATAGATTTTCTTTGGATATTCTTTACAGATTAGTTGCATGATCTACTAGACCCAAAATCCGGATCCAGCCCTATTTGATGGATAAAACCACCGAACACCGGTAGTCGGTTGTGGGTTTGTGCCCGCCACATTGAGTTTTCTTCACCTAAATATGGGCCAGTTTCCTATAAAAGATCTCCTAGGCAGATCACCTGTGTGCCGCGTTACCGTATATGAACAAACCAGACCGACCTTTATATCATTCTTTTAACGTAAAGCGCTCGGTTTCTTTTCTTCCTCTTCGTGCACTTGAATTTAGAATTCATTTACATATATTAAATTTTCTAATTTTATATAAATAATGAAAAGTTTCTTACATGGATTTCAGTCCAGGCTCCTCTAAAAGACTGGTTTCTGGGACAAGTTACTTGCATCAGCCAGCACAGATTATTTCTAATAACTCAAATGCAAAGATTCCATAATGTGTAATAGAGTAAATTTCTGAATATTCAAATTTTTAGTCATACAAGTGAAACATCTGTACAATATAGAAGACACTTATTGTAATATTTACTTACCTCACTTAATGTTATTGGTACAGGCAAATCCCAAACTGATTATAAGTTGATTTCACTATATTAAATACAATACTGTCACACCTTGTCAATAACAGGTGATTCTGACTTGATTCAGATAAGATTCAGTTAATAGAGCTATTGATGGTGAAGCTGTATTAACTGGATCTTACTTGAATAAGAACAGTTTATTTGAATTAAAGCAGTGGCAAGTCTTTGCCAAGCACACGCCGAACTGTTATTAACTCAATGAAGTTAAACAGAGAGGGATCTGATCTCTCTGAGATGATGCTAGTGTTAACTATCCAAGGCAGGTCATAAATACAGACTGAAAGAGATCAACAGGAATGAAATCTGCTTACAAAATAAAACCAAATCAAGAAAAAGCAATCATGCTATAATAGTGAGGTTGAGGCCAAAGTTTTAAACGCAAAAACACGTACTTCGGATGTTTAGCACCACTTTCCTGTAAGCCTAGAAGTTTGATAATGGTGTTTGGATAGTCAGTGGAATCAAGTTCGACATTCTAAACACCATTGTCAAACTTCTAGACTTGACTAGACTTACAGGAAAGTGGTGCTAAATGTCCGACGTACATGTTTTTGCGTTTAAAATCTTCGGCCTCAACCTCGCTAATAAGTGGGACTAGTAACACTAAAAATGGAAAAACAAAAAAAATTATCTCGGAAACTACTGAAATTATAATTTAAATTCAAAATTTACACTGATGCTATTGTACAGAGCTTCTGCACTTATTACTTTAAGGAATAATGTTTCTGTTTTGCTAGATCTCGTCTCTTAAATCTGCTTTCGCGTTGGATGCGTAAGTGCTCGTTCGATTATTTTGAGACACTAAATTATGAAATAATTAATATGCCTTGTCATTAGTATTTTTTAAGATATATAAAAATTAATTACTCTCTTGTTTATTTATCGTTTCAGAGAAAACAGCAATTTCCGTGTGAACTGGAATATTGTAACTTTATCGATATTGTTTATAACAACAATAATGAAATTTACATAAGTTTATAAAATATACATTCAACTTTGTTATAGTATGTAATAACAATAATACATTAAAATGCAACTTATATTTTATGATGATGACGATAAATTATTTAAATATATATAAAAAAGAAATGACTTTAATTTACACAATTTTGCATACATTAAATATAAGAAAACAATTTTTAAACGTTGGCCAAAATCAAACTCTGCAACGGCAATGCGATTGACATCCAAGTAGAAAACTCCACGGAATTTTCGTTAATGTCCATACCTGAAGTAAAACAAAATATACAAATAAGACAATAAGCAGATTTTTATAATTATTAATGAATACATATTACACTATACACAGGAATATTATATTTATATTGACATGTACACACAGTGTGTGAAGAGCTGTAGAAATGCATTGGCGCAAGTACCATGGACTAAAAACTAATGCATTTTCAAGGGAGACAGAAACACTGCTACTGCTCTGTGTCATGAAATGAGCACAGCTTTTGTTCCACCTCACATTACACAAAGATTCACAGAAAAGCATCAACATTTGGCAAAAGACAAACCAGAAATGCTGCACATAACCTGCTACGTTACATTATTTTCTTTTCCGGTAATACTTGCACTTAAAACATGAGTCTCGCCATGCTAGTGCCAATGCTTTCCTACAAGGAAAAACAGCACCGTGCACATTTTACAACAGACACATTATAAAAAATTAAACAAATTCAATAATAAGCTTCCTTCAACTCATCGAATAAACAATTTTTAACAATCGAAGTTAAAACACACACAGACGACACAACACTGGTATTAAAAAAAGAGCACTTGCCTAATCTGCACTTAAGGTGATTAAATGACATTCTAAATGACTAATGATGATTTAAGTGTAGATTAAGAAAAAAAAAATTATCTTTTTAAATTAATTGTGAGCACTTAAATTCATTTCTTAAAAAAATTATAAATTATATACACCTAAACCAGAATTTACATAGTAGACTCTTGATTTTAGTTTTTACACAGAACAGTTTCCACTATAAATATTAAAAAAATAGAATCTTAGAACTTATCTCTAGTAATCATTATAAAATAGAAAATGAAATCCTATTTTCATTTATCTTCTTTTCTTAATAATAATAAATAGAAGAATTGTTTCTTTTAGTTGAAAAATCTCCTAAGTTCCATTACTTATTTCTTTGATCCCAGCTTTTTCCTAGTTTACCAAAGGCTTTATTAAAACAATACTATCAACATTTGTTATCAAAGCTTTGTTTTTTTTATTTTTACTTACTTTTTTTTTTATAAATTTCCCACTATTGATCTAAGTTTAATGCATACAGAAGTTGAAACTTAATACAAAATAGAGTATCCCATTTCTTTGAATATTCAAGTTGAAAGCAGCAGTATCATAATAGTTAAAATTAACTATTAGACCTATTCTATCAATAAAAATACTTCATTTTAAAATAAAATACTATGTTAAACTGAAATTCCTTCACGAAGAATAAAATTTTGTCAATTTTTCCAATTAATAATTGGCCTGGCATAATATAATGTAAGAAGATGTCTGAATGCAGACTTATCTTGTGTTAACAATTGAGAGATGAATATAGATCATATACATTTGTATTTGTAAATAGTATGAATATTCAGATTTGGTATTATCATCACTACAAACTTAATCTTTTCTTATTATTAAACAACTAATCTTAATAACAATATCATATTAAATTTGTAGTGATACTGACATGAATCATTTTGTATATTTAGGAATGACAGAGACCCAAGAAGAAACATTTGTCAGATTTTTAGATAAAATAAAAAATACATTTCTTTTGCTTTATCTAATTTATCCAATTTTGTTTATTCTATTTTGTTAAAATGCAAAAAAAGAGAGATTCTATGCCAGGGCTGGCCCAACCTCGTCACAACAGGTGCCATATACCACCTATCACAATTACGAGAGCAGCATTCTCAATTGAAATTATTTTATATAATGACATGTATTCCCATATATTTGCATAGAACTGCAATGATCAAACACACAGCTTGTAAGCCACAGTTTGTGCAACTGCGAATATACCTAAAGTGCATATGTTCGATCAAAATAAGGAAAAAAACCGAGAAAACCACCAACCAAAATATAAAAGCTAAAAAACTTGCACAAAACTACTTTATTGAGAAAACCAGACCCCCCCAAAAAAACCACATTGTTCGTCACAATCCGAGTACTTTTGTGCCGGCTAAGCTCATCATCTGGAGCAACTAAAGTATACGAGTTATTTCTGTTGGAACAGAAAAAGAATTTATACAAGTGCAGCAAGTTACACAATGTTTAATGATTCCAATAACTCAAAGTCAGCAGAATGGATAAAAATTGTTAATCGCACAAAATTAAAACTGCTACACTATAAGGATACTATCAATAGAAACCACTGGAAAATTACTTAGTTTAACAAATTATTAGCATAAATATAGCCTGATAATTTGGTTGACTATAGCTGACTATTACTGGTTAAATATAAGAGAAGTGCTTTAGAGAATGAACTTTAACTGACAGATCGCAAATAAGTACATTTAAAATCAAATTAGAGTAGATAAAAGTCATTATCAATTTTAAATCATCTGCACAAGCAAAATACATGGAACAAAACAGAGAAAACTGGATCGGTAGATGAAGCAAAATGTGATTACTTTTATGGCATTTCAATTACATATTTAACGGATATTGCATTCATAATCATAATTACAAATTGGGCAAGTTTTAATCATAAAACAATCATTCGTCTACAAAATAACAGGGTTAAATGGCTGGTGGAAAAATCGATATAAACAACAGTAGCAAGTTTTCACTTTTGAAACAGATCAAAGATGGTACACCTATATGTGATCAGTATTTAATTCTGTTAATTTTTAATTAATGTAATTAAATACTGATCTACATATTATCTAGAGTCTAATTTTTAATTAAATAGTACATGTATATCCAAAGTTATAATTATAATGTCTAAATTATTTCCAGTGTATTTTGTCTAGAGAATCATTTTTAACTTTGACAGAAATTGCAGAAATTTAGATAAGTAAAAATGAATTTAAATTATCAGAAAATTTTCTGAATCCATTTCAAAGGTAACGAACAGGATAATGCCAACGTTTGAGGGAATTGTAAAGTTGGATGTTCTAGTTTCTTATTTATAAAAGGATGAGAATCATTCTCCACAATCCCAGCTTATGAGTAATTGCAGTGACTTAAACTTCATAAAAATTTTATAATATGGCATACCTAATTTAATATAGTATAATAGTTTTATTAAAATAATTTTTTTTAATAAAGTTTTTTTAATTAATAAAGTAAAAACTGCTATCAGAAACAACAATCTTTATTGATAGCAAGAACGTGATATAGAAATTTTCCAAATCTTCCAAAGAAAACTAAGAGATTACCAAAGAAAATTCTTTGGTAATCTCTGATAATTTCAACAAGAGCAGCCATTCCGAATGGTACTGGACCTGAAGAAGGTCCTAAGATGAACTGAAAACATTAGTGTGACATTTCAAAAATTAACTGCAAAGCTATATTATATATAAGGTTAGTGTGACATATTTGTATTTATAAGTATCACTTTGTTCATTAGATGGATTGTATAGAAAAGTTTTTGTATCTAAATGATGGTTTCTTGCAGATCATTGACAGCTTTCTTTTTATTCTAAACTTACTAAAAATAAACTGGCAAGGAGTTGCTCAAGTTTCCGGCAACATTTAAAATTTGTGGTGGTGCCATCTGTTATCATATTTTATTTTAAAAACTTTTTATATTTTTAACTATTATAAGATGTCAGAAACCTCAATTTTGAGGCTTGGGATGGGTTTTATAAAAAATTGTAAATGCTAATAACAAGTAAAATCACCATTAAGTCCGACACTACTGCGGATACACGTGACCCCCATTATCACCTCACCCTTCAACATTTAACTACCAAAATTTAATAGAATCGATTCCCTAATAAACAAATTTCCCTGCAAAATTTGTTTATTAGGAAAAAAAAAACAGGAGTTATTAAGCTTCAAACAGAATGAATGGAATCGTGCCCCACATAAACATACACACACTAACATCCATACATACAGGAATTACCCCAAAGGTCCTGAACCCAAAAATGTAAAAATCTGGGGAGGGGTCATTTTTTGCCAGATTGCCATACTTTTCCTCTGTTATAACAACCAGGAAATTAAAAATATATAAATGGAAAGGAGACAATGAAGCTTCACACATCCAAATCGAAATCAAATTACTAAAAGAAAAAAACAAAATAATAATTTGAATAAAAATAGAATTTACTGTATTAAAATACAATATGTAGAATATATTATACTAATCATACTATACAGCAACTTTTATTACTATAGACAGATATATTTGTTCTTTTTATTTAAAATTACACTTTGAATAAACTCATTAAGTAAAGTATACGTATGTAGCAAAAGTTTGGGGACTTGTATAATTTGTTGCCTTGAATAGTTTAAAACATCGACTCACAATCACCTTCTAACAAATCCTGTTGGGTGACGATACGTTTTTTCCAATGCTCCTATGGCTTCTTGAAGCCGTAGAAGCAGAAAAGATTGTGTAAGCCATCTTTTGAATCACCCTTAATGACTCCTGTGATGACATAATGGCATCAGAACAATATCTGGCTGTTTATGATAGATGGGCATAAAACGTGCATACATCACATTTTATGTTCAGATATACAGCATTTGTGCGAGTCCATCTGTAATAAATGGCCTGAGATTGCTTTGTTGTTGTTTTCAAACGAGATAAAAGAAACATCACAGAAGGTATTATGAATGGTTGCAAAACAGCCAAAGCTTTCAGAGGCTGTAAGAGAACTGTAAAAAGTGCATCATCATTCAAGGGGATTAGTTTGAAGGTGTTTTAAACTATTCAAGGCAAGGAACTATATGCCAAGTCCCTGAACTTTTGGATCCCATCCTGTATGTAGTGTTATGCTGTCATGCTTCTTAACATAGTAAAAAATTTGAAATAATGTAAATAAAGCAGAAAATTTTAATACTAATTCAAATAGCTTCACCTGAACATCATAAATTTGAATCATTTCAAAAATTAATATATTCTAGTTTGAAATATAAACAATTTCATCATAGTTAACTTTCAAAAAGTAGAATATATTGATAATAATTGATTATTACAACATCTAGAACATGCATTCAGTCTATAAGCACACAAATATAATATTCTAATTATAGTAACCTGTTATACATTAATATAAATTATTTCAGTCTCATGTATCAAGTGAATGAAAAAAAAGCAAAGAATAACACAAAAACATGTGCATTCTTATTTTTGTAAATATGTTAGATTACAGCTTATATTCTTTAAATTCTTTTGGTTTAAAATTTGTCCAAAAACATTTATTTTCTTTAAATTTTAATAAATATTAATCCACAAAATTACACACAGCTTCATATTCTCTACAATAAATGATTTATTAAATGTAATGTACATTTTGTTTTTGTTATTACAGACATTGATTATTGTTTATATACACCTTAGCATAAAAATGTCTCATGGTATATGATACTTTTGTAGCAATCATGAACTTTCTTTCCATATCTGGAATCACATTTTTGTTTTTATATATTACTAGCAGACCCTACCACGTGTTGTTGTGGCTCAAAATGTATCTATTATAAATTTATAACACTTCCCCCATGGGGGTTCTTAGTGTACATTCTCTTGAGGTACCCTATTAAAATGCAATCAAAAACGCAAAAACCTGCATCTAAAATAGTATAATAGAAGCCAAGTTCTTCACGGTAAGCCTTAATCCTGTCTCTCTCCCCCTCGGAGGGAATATCGAAAAATTTCTTCTTAGTGTACATTCTGTTGACGTACTCCATTAAAATGCAATCAAAAACGCAAAAACCCGCATCTAAAATAGTATAAATAAAAGCAGAGTTCTTTACCATAAGCCTTAATCCTAACCATCTCCCTTCAGTGCGGTTGAATTTCAACATGTATATTATATAAAAACACATGCGTATTCGAATGCAGCGTGGTGTCAAAATTTCAAAGGAATCGGTATGAACAAACGAACATTACATTTTTATTTATATAGATAGATAGAAGATGATCTGCTTTAGTTCATTTTCACAGAAAAGCATAATGCCTCACAGAAAAGCAAACTTAGGGCGTCGTACTCATAGTGCCATCTGTTGGACATAAAAGCCTTAACCATAGATGATATCATTTAATTTATATGAATGTTTAACGGAATAATATACAGCCTATGTCCACCCTGAATTTCTATTCTAAATATTGGTGAAAGAATTTCTGAAATCGGATGAGTAGTTTCGGAGATTACCTGCTACATCCAAACTTGCTTACTTACATACTCACAAACATTACCTCTTTATAATATTAGCAGGGCTGTGGAGTCACGTAAAAATCTACCGACTCCAACTCCGACTTTTTCTTATCATCCAACTCTGACTCCGGCTAAAACACCCAAACTCCACGACTCCAACAGCCCTGCCAGGGCTGTGGAAGTCGCGTAAAAATCTACCGACTCCAACTCCGACTCCGGCTAAAACATCAAAACTCCACGACTCTGACTCCGACTCCACAGCCCTGAATATTAGTATAGATGTCAACCAGGCTGTCAGAACAGAGCCCATTTATATGTCAAGATATGTATGTAATTATTTACTAATAGAATGTATATAGTGTTAAGCATTACTAATGAGAGAAAAAAAAACTAGATACCAATTGTCAGTACCAAATGGATCATCATCTGCAATCATTGCATCAACTGCATGTTCCTAAGATTTCTTTTTAAAACATAACATTAATAATGTATGATGATCCAATTTCTAATTTTTAACAGATTAAATTGCTGGAAAGCCATTCTCATCATCTGTCTCTATGCTGTCAAGTCTAGCTCATGAGCAATTTCGCTTAAAACTTCTTTAAATTTTAAGGCACATTAAAAATGTATATAATAAACCATTTTAATAATTTTTGCATTAATTTATAATGTATTTATTTTTATGAACCACCCTTTAAAATAAACTTACCATTAAATACTGCCACTGTAGCTTGTAACAATATGCTTCTGGGAGAATAAGCATAAACAATAAACTGTTCATTATAAAAACTATTCTTGATAGGAGAAGAAAGTGATATATGTTTTCAAAATTTTTGTGTAATTACTAATAAATAGGTAAGTAACAAAAATAATAAACTAAGAATTAGGGAATTTCCATTCTGATCTAAACTACAGTAGAGCCTCGATTATCCGACACCTCAGTTAACCGACCGCCCTAGTCGACAAATTTCAAATGTCTGCTAGTGATGTGGCGCTACAATATTTGGCTATGTCTTGGCTACTTTAATATCATTTTTACGTGTTTTAGCTGGCAACACTCATTCGACCATGAAAGGGAGCCAGTATTTAAATGAGGCTTAAGTTTCTAATTTTTAACAATACAATAGCGACGATTATTATTTTAAAAAATTTTTGTTAGGCTTAACATCGATGAAAATTCAACGTGAAGTAGGTTAATAGCGATATACTAATATACTAATTACATGAGATATAATAATATACTACACTAATAATGGATTTTTTTCATACTTTTTGGTTATCCGACTTTTCAATTATCCAACCAACCTCAGTCCCCAATTGAGTCGGATAATCAAGGCTCTACTGTACATACATTTTTGGATTAAGAAATTAGCTTTAAATTTCTATTGTAAGGCTGATATAATTTAGAATATTTAACTGAATATTTTACAATAGAAGTGTTCAAAGTATGTCAGCATCCATTAACACCTTCTATGGTTGTAGCATAGTGTATTCATCTATCATATTTATGATCTATCTGTATTTATGAAAAAGTAAAATATATTTTCGTTCTAAAGCCTTAATAATACTTCATTACTTCCTTGTCTTAACGAGTATGGTTTTACTTCAATATATTAATACTATAACATCGGCTACTTGAACATTGTGTGAATGTAGCAGAAAATACTTGTGGTCTAGGATTAGTGAAAAATCCAAGATGTTCATTAATTCTTACATTAACAGATCTAATCATGAAGCCAAGTGTAATATGTCACTCTTGTAGATTCTATAAGGCCCATTATATATGCCTCCAGTTAGCAATTATCCTTTGTAGAATCTTATTGCTACTAATGATATCAATGACTGTAAGAGTGCGACTATGCAGACGTGAGTGAGTGAATTTTCTGAGTGAGAAGAGTCGAGATATGAGAAGAGAAGTGAGTGGTGAGAAGAGGCGAGATGTGATAAATATCAAACCCTGTCAGATATGTGCGAGAACCAGAAATTCAATCATGCCACGAAGATTTCTTGCTTCTCGCTTGTGCATGTTTTTCTTTGCGGGAACTATACCTCTCGCTTGCTCCTGAATCCACGTCTGAATAGTTGCTCCCTAAGGTCTCTTCTAGTGACATTTGGTATTGCATATCTTTAACTTAAGGTTTAAGTATGTTAAACAGTGCTTTGTCTCTGATGATAACTCTTTTCAATTTTTAGTGTATATTTTGCAAGTATATGAATGTTGTTGAACCTTAAAAATAGTAATATTTAAGTAATTGCCTTCTAGTTTACTATCATTTCTAACTTAATCTTGACGCCTGTTTTTATTGTAATTAACTCAACAATTATTCAAAAAAGAGTTGTTCCTTAATGGATATTGATGATGGCTGAATGTATGAAAAGAAATGTTTTATCAATAAAAAATAAGCAGTTCCTGAATTGAGAGTTGTTATAATTTTATAATATGGCACTGAAATTTATGGACTTGAAAAAAAAGTTAATTAAGAAAGTTATATTTGCATTTTGAGTCATTCTTATCATTATTAGAATGATATAAGATGCAAAATTTTTGAACCAATCACATATACTATATAGAGTTAGAAATGTAAACATTTCAAAATTATGTTAAGTCTGCAAAATTAATTTAAATGATAACAACTTAATCATGAAAACACAGATTTTGTTCTGGGACATCTATTTAATTATGATTTGAAGTATTGTTTGAAGTTAGTGCTTTTGTTTTGTTCTACTCTGATCTAATGTTTTGTTTTGCTCTCCTGTAATTTTTATACTTTGTTCATATTATGTTTATTTGTGAATGAATATTTAAATCTCGTAATAGCTGTAACAGCTTAAAATATTTGAGTTTTTTTAAATTCTGCTGAATTATAAATATTATATATATTTTAATATATAATTACATATTAAAAACATAAGATCATTTCTTCTTCAAATCTAAATTTGTTTAAAATTTTTAAGACAAGCATACAAAAGTGCATATTTGTATCATTCTTTGTATTTCACTCTCATTAATTAATTAAGTAGGCACAAAAGACTAAAATAATTTGTTAATTTTTACATAAATATATTATATAGATATTTATTAAAATAAAAATAAAATTCAGATCATTGTAAAATAAACAAGATGTTCTGTGATGAAGTGCTTCGTACCTTAAGAACCTTATAGTTTTTCAAAAATGTAAGGTTCACTTGCATTTCTTGATACTTTCATACAGCACAGAAGCTGAAGGCTATTAGGTAGCATTTATCAGTGTTGCAGAGCACCATCTTAAGGGGTAGTCTGAACTTTAAATCCATTTAGCACAGAAACAATGCATTTGAAGGGATTTGTTTATAAGATATTTTTGAATCCCTTAAGCCTCTAAAATATACTGTAAAAATATTGCCACTTCCTCACAGAATTTTAGGACCATCACAGTTTTAATTCAACAGCTCATTAATGTGTTGATTGCATAAACTATCTATGTGTACATTGTTTTTAATATACTATTTTAATTAAAGAATTTATTAGAAATTAAAGAATTTTTAGTACATTTATTATTTGTTTATTGTGATTTAAGTGTACACTATCAAATTAAATTCATATTGAGTGTTATCCTTATTGTAATATATTTTACTTACTTTTGAAATTCCCATTCTCTATTATCAAGCGGACATACTTGGCGAGTCTTCAGCCATCGAGAAATACAGTGAAAATGAAAGGCGTGCTATAAAAATTTCAAAAATTATACAATTAAATAAAATAACTTTATGTAAATAAAAATATTTTCAATCAATTTAATTCAATGTTACAAACATAAATAAATTATTTATTACTAATAGTAATTGGAACTAATTCAATTTAAACAGTTGCACTATGTTAAATTATTATACTGTCGATAACAGAGAACAATCTTGTTGAAACTTTACTTCACTTCCAAATAATAAAACAAATTTAACTCAATAATCATATCATTATCATCATCTTAAAGTGAAGCAATTCTAATATAATATAATAATAAACATCAGAGCCGAATTTTTGATGCATTTATCATAACGAAAACATCTTATCTCTTCAATTGATTCATTATAAAAATGATAATTATCATTCTCTTTCCTTTCAGAAATAAAATAAATATGTATTTTTCCTACCCAAATTAATTTAAAATATACAAATAAAATAATAAATGTTATAAAAATATATTTATTTCTTTGATTACATTTGCAAAAATCTTCCAAATTATTTTCTGAATGTTTATTACATGATTAAATAGATTATAATAATAATAATAATTAATATTCTTTACAAGCAATGAAAATTCTGGGAATGTATTAAATGCAGGATAATCAAAAAATAAATAAATAAACATTCTTTAATTATTTACCACTAGCCCAAGTTATTTAGTATCTTAATAATTATTCATTAATGCTTCAAAAACTTCAAATAAACACATCAAAAACTGATTTAAAGGAGCAAGAAATAAAATAAATGCTAATTTCCAAGTGCTTTCAGATTTATCTCCTGATGGCAGACCAAAGAGGTCTAAAAGTGCTTGAAATTAGTAATTATTTAAAAAAGAAAATAATCAAAAATTACTTTAAATACTGGATGTGTGTGTGTAGATCAAAAACTAAAAACTATAGTTTTTGGACCTGATGATGACATTTAAACAAAGTTAAAAATGTTCTGTCAATAAATTTTTTCTGTTCTTTACTGGATTTAAGATGCTTTGGAGTATTTATTTTATTTCTTTGCTTCAATATGAAGCAGTTTTTGGTGTGTTAGAATATTAAAAATACTTTTTTCTATCTAACATTTATTTTCATAGAAAGTATTTAGAACTACATAAGTAGTTTGTTAATATTCATTTCCTCTTCTGTTGATATCTTTTCTTCAAATACATACAGAGATTTTTTATATTGTATTTCCTCTATTCTAAGACACTCAACAATTTTAAAGCTAATTTTTAAAATTATTTTTTGGAGGAAAAATGTTTTAAATAATTTATTAAGTTTTTGTTGAGTAAAAAGTTGAAAAATAAATGTGTAAATGCCATGAAATAGGTTATGTTTTATGTTTGACAGTTTTATTCCATGCTCTTCTGCATGTACAGTACAATAACTTTAAATGTTCTCTTGTTAAATTTTACATATTTAAAAAGAGTTTACATTATATATTCTTAACTAGAAAAATATTATTTGAGCATAAATCATTGTGTGGTAAGAAGTTTAAAGAATGCTCACATTTACAACTCAGTTAATCAGATGTGGATAGAACTAGCTACACTTAAATATGGCACATTAACTAGGTCAAAACATTGTTCTTCAAACTTTATCTACTGTTAAAAGTGTATTAATTTATTGATTAATTCAGAATAACTACAGTAGCTAATTTGTCCTTAGGAAGAGATTTTACTTTAGGCAAGTTAAAAATTGCATCTGAGAATAATGGAAATATGACAATTCCATGAAAATAATGTTTAACACTCTATTTAATCAAAATTTATTTAAGAATTACAATATTTTTTGTATATTTTATAATGAAAACAGACAATCTGCCAAATTATCAGGCTATAATTAGGTTAAGTTACGAGGGCTGTTCAAAAAGTTCGCGGCCTTGCCTATATGCAGCGCTGTGATCAATTTGATTTTTGGCGGGAATAATTCAGCCATCTTTGCTAAAGATACGATACCAATTTCCGCTTGATTTGTCAAAAAGTTTTGCCACGACAGCTTAGCAGATAGTCAGTGTGCACATGCTTTGTCAAAAATGGAGAAGATGGAGACTCGTGCGGTCATAAAATACCTGACGAAAAAAGGGTTGACCCCATCTCAAATCAAAGCTGACATGGATGAAGTTTTAGGAGAGTCTGCTCCTTCGTACACCACTGTGAAAAAATGAACAGCCCTTTTTAAATCTGGCAGAGAAAGTGTGGAAGATGACCCTCGCACCGGATGGCTGTCAACTGCTGTCACTGAAGAAAACATCAACAAAGTTCACGATTTGGTATTAGCAGATCGCCGTTTGAAAATTTGTGATAGCTGAGACAACAGGCATCTCTGTTGACCAAGTGCACTACATCCTAACCGAAGATTTGGGTATGACGAAGGTCTCAGCAAGGTGGGTGCTGCATCTGCTGACCGCCGAGCAAAAACGTGTTCGCACTTTGATGTCAAAGGAGTGTTTGGACTTCTACCAGAAAAACCCACAGGATTTCTTGCGTCGGTTTGTGACTACTGACGAAACGTGGATCCATTACTACACTCCTGAAACAAAAGAACAGTCGAAGCAATGGAAACACCACAGTTCGCCACCACCAAAGAAGGCAAAGACAGTTCCATCAGCGGGTAAAGTGATGGCCTCGGTTTTTTGGGATGCTAAAGGCATCATCTTTATTGACTACCTAGAAAGAGGAAAGACCATTAATGCTGTCTATTACTGTGAACTTTTGGAAAAACTGAAGAAAGAAATCGAAGAAAAGAGGCCACACTTGAAGAAGAAAAAAGTTCTGTTCCACCACGATAATGCACCTGCACATTCCGCCAGAATCACTGAACAAAAGATAAACGAACTTCGCTTCCAATTAGTTCCACATCCACCATACTCACCTGATTTGGCCCCCAGTGACTTCCACCTTTTTCCAAACCTAAAAAAATTCTTGGCTGGAAAGAGATTCCACTCAAATGACGAAGTCATCTCTGAAGTGAACGAGTATTTTGCACACCTTGACAAATCGACCTATTGTGATGGAATAAAAAAGCTAAAACATCGCTGGAATAAGTGCATTGCTAACAGAGGAGATTACATTGAAAAATAAAAAAAGTTTTAACATTATTTTTTTTGTTTTTCTATGTGAGGCCGCGAACTTTCCGAACAGCCCTCGTAATAATTAAATATGAAGTAATTGGTCTAGAAGTAGAGTTAAGCTTCTAAACAAATTACTTCATAACTAATTATTAACTTAGCGCAACTATAGCCAGATAATTAGGCAGACAAACTGGCTTTAATTAAAAAATGGGTTTGTTCAGCGGTTCTTAATATATATATACTTTATAATGATTTAAGAATAATGTTTTTAGAAATTACAGGAGAATTCTGTGTTACTGACAAAGCAAGAAATTAATTTTATAAATTAGAATTATTGTTCCTTTGGAATTGGTTTTGTAATTACAACAACAAATTATTCATTAATCAAATTCATTTACAATAAAAAAGTTTCTTTTGCCTGCCCTTTTTAATTGAAATTCATAATATAACAACATATATCATTCATTCAAATCAATCCAGAATTAATGGCAATTCAAGTATCCATCCAACACAAGATTTCTTTCAAGATAAGATTTCAAAATGAATTAATTAATGGCCTAAAAATATCTGAAAGGCATCACACAATATTTGGTTACTTCATTCATAATATAATAAAAGAGAAACTAAACTCAATATATCTTCTGATATCTCAGAAACTACAACAACATACTTTTAACATTATTCTCCAGAAACCAATCCAACCTAGGTTACCAGTTTGAAGTGATTTTCCACAGGATAAACATTTAAGTCATTATAATTTAATATTGTATCATTTGAAAGCCTTTAAAATAATCTGATTAATCAATTATTTTGATTAAAAATATTGTTTGACTGTCAGAAAACAATACAGAAAAATAAAATAATGACAAAGTCAATTACAAATAAATTGTGTAAAGAAACTCTGTATTTTACTTCTTCTAAATGTGCAAAATTTATAACTATTAGTTAAAAGGAAGCAGAACATCAGGGATGAAGTAGAGCAATTCCCTCTGAAATTCTGCAGAAAAAGTCATGCAAAATTTTAAAGAACTGTTGCAAGAATGTGTAAACAACAAGAGATATTACCTCAAACACAATATTCAGAAAGTGATTATTTACAAATCCTTTGAATTTAAATGTAGAATGACAAAAAATTAATTTAGCATAATTACATAACTTTTATTTTAATCAAAAACCACCAGGTTAATCTGCCACACCTGTATAATATTCTAAATTTAACTACATGATTAACAATTTAGTTTGGTATATTGTCAATATGAGAAAGGACACATTTTAAGTTTTAAAAATGTAATTTATATTTTTCTCTACAGCTCCAACCTCACAGAGCACCAATGAATATTCACAAACAGATCTTCCTCTTAAAACAAAGAATACTTCAGCCTCTGTAAATTACTAAATGTAGAATTTTGCATTGCAAAAAAGCAGTGTTATTGCCAAATCACAGCTTTCAAACTATCAAATATAAAATTTGTGTAAACTTCATTGTTTCACATAATTCTTATTGTTTGAGGTTCTTCAAATCAGTGCCAATTTTAACAGTCAAACAAATAGTAGCATTATATTGATGTATGACTGTATATAACGATGAAGTGCCTATTCAATCCTATCAATATAAGCAATTCAATAACTTAACTATATCAAAAAATAAACTTTTTTTAGCATTATTAGCTTTAATGATGAATAATAATAAACCAAACACCCTGATTATATTAACAAAAATGTTAAATTTTAAAAATTCCATAGAGGTTACATATTCTAGATAATTATCTTCAATATTACCAATTTAATTTCATGTGTAATATACAAAGCACAATAAAAAATAAGTTCAACAAATGAAGATTAATTTGTAGATTGTTATTGTGTTTCAACTAGAAAAAAATATAAGAAACTCTTCATTCATGTAAATACACTAAAAAGTAAAAAATAAATTTTTTTTCAGCTTTCACAGCATTCTTGAAATTATGCAACCAAAGTTAAAAGCATGGGGCTTTCCTCACACCATCTGCAGCTGCTATGAAGAATGTAGAATAACTGCATGTTTGCAAGTATAATGATTTTCTGTTTGAAAACTGAAACTGATGGAGCAGAGTCCAAAAGTGATTATCTGATTCAAATTTTCTATCGTTTTCTTGAGTTTTACTTGTTCTATATATACTTTTATGCATAAAATGATAGTTTAACTTTTGTATGTTTTTAGGAGCACTTTTTCCACAGTCTTGAATCTTTTGCAATGTACAGAATTCATAAATCATGCTGAATAGTTTACAAGAGGAAAATCATATTGCATTGTATTTGATTCAAATTTTATACAGAATAATTATTGATATGTAAAAATCTACATATAAAAGATAAACTTTAAAAGACTAGTTTTTCTCCTATTAAATGAGATAATCTGTAATTATTCAATCAAAGAAGTTTAAATTATTGACAGTTTTGAAATGTATTACAGAATGAAAGTAAATAAAACATTATATTTAATGTTATAATCTTCAGAATGTATCAGACATTGAAAAAAGCCGATCTTGATAAACAAACTAACACTCTACAAATATTTTAGAATTATGAGTTTAAAAATAAATAAAAAATATTTACATTGCATACACCCCATGCAACAGTACATTCTTCACTAGTAGCTGATGCCTGGTTAGCTTGACATTCAATGCCTGTAAAATATTTAAAAAGAAATTTTTTTAAATTTAATATTTATCTGACATATGAATACATTGAATATGTTATAGTTATATAATAAAATTTCCACATTTAAAATTACTCACACAAGTCCATAATATGATTACGACATATAGCACAGTTGTCAACAACAATATCTGAAAAATACATATATTAAATTAGTCAAATAGCAAAGTAAAAATTATCAAATGCAAGTCAGGACTGTCAAATATTTATATTTAACTTTTAAAATTTATATAATAAAAATTTTGTACTGTATTCATCCACAAAGTTTTATTCTTATGTGCAAAATGTTTTTGGATGTATTATAGTTGCATGAAAAAACTTTGCTGGAGGAATAAGGTGTGAAATTTCTATTATTTGAATGATATCCAGCTTGACTTTTGTGATTTTAAATGTATAAAATGCTCAAATTTATATAAAACTAGCTGCAAGTACCCGCTTTGCTGGGTTTTTATTTGTTCGTACATTTATATGTAATATAGTTTTTTTTATGTATAAAAGATTGTTTCTCTTCCTCTACATAATCTTTCTCTAATGCAATGTGTTTCCCTATAATTTTCAAGTTGCTCTTCTGTCTGATTATTTCTGTTTCTCTTAGCAATGTTAGATGCACTTCTTTGTACTTCAATGTTAGATGTACAGTACTTTTATTCCATGGTTTCATTTCTCTGAGCCATCTTTTGCCTTTGAGATATGATTCAAGACCGCAAAAATTCTTTCATACGTTTCGGCATTGTTTTTTATATTTTTACTTTTCACACTTCACTATTCACTTTCTACTTTCTTCTGTTATTCATACACTTTTATTTATGAAATATCAACTGAAGCATATGTGTCACACGTCTCCAAAAGCCATCCCCACTACTCATGCATAACGGTCTTCGACTATTCCAAAACATTTTCAACTATTCGAAAACATTTAAGATTAAGATTACATTATAGCCAATCTTACCCATTTTCACAGAATGCAAGAATTAAGTTCCTCATTTCCAGACTAATTAGAGAATTTTTACATGAGTCTAAAAATATGTTCGATTTCCTGCAAAAATGCAAAAAACTGCATCTGTGCCTGTAAATCTTGCATGCTGCTTTATCTTAACACTTCCTTTGTTAACATTTCCATTCTTAACACTTCCATTGTTACACATTTTTGAAGTCAACCATTTTCAACCCCCATATCTCCCAAACCCTTATAGCTATCAAGATGCAATCACCATAGTGCACGATGGGAGACTTGGGGTTACTACCACACACATACATCATTCATGTGTGATGTGTAGTTTTGGCTGCGGAGTGAAATATAGGCACACACACGTCCATATATATATATAGATAATAATTAATATCTTTGTTAATTACAAATAACTGCAAGAAATAAAATTTTAAGATAAATTTTGGACAACTGTGAAGATGATATGTGCATAAATTATTAATAGTAGTGTATTTATGGCATATAAGAGGGACTCCCATTTCAACACAGAACATTTAAAAAGTATTTAGTGTACTTAAGGCATTCTGTACCTTTGTTTACTGAACCCCAATTTTTTTTACTGTATCCTGGTTTAAAAGTAAAATTCAAATGTACAGTTATGTATCAGGAAAAAGTTGGAGTTAAAAGTTAAAAGAAATCATTTAAAGTTAAAATTTACCATTAGAATATTCAACATGAATACATGCTTAGCTATAGCAAATAATAATAATAATAAGTTTAATTAAACAATAACATATTTTATTCAAGAGTTGGGCTAGTTAGAGGTTACATGTAGCCTACCAAGGGCCATTTGGAAAATTCATTAACCCGCAGAAAATTGTAACTTCACATATGAGATGCAGAGCAATTTTTAGGACAAAAGCCGAATCTTATATGCTATAAAACACTACAAATCCGTATTGTTGACACATACACACAGTCTACATAAGTTGGTTGGTTAATTTTGTACAAGATAAATAATCAAAGCCAAATGATCTGTTCAGTTAAGCAGGGATGCACAACCTTTTGTGAAGAAGGGCCAAGTTAGGGTTAAGTTTACTGACTGGGGGCCGGACCTCCAAGCGATTAATGCGATGGCTGAGATTGGATGCTGGTGGCAATCTTCTTGATGTCTGGTGTAATGGCAGATGTTGAAACAACCAGCAGATTTTCCAAATTCTCTTTGGTTAACCTGTTCCGTGTTTTGCACTTGTTTAAATTCATAAGCGAAAACGCTTGTTCGCATACATAGGTNCTTGTTAACATCTCACACAACTGTTTTGTTTCATTTGTTTTTTTGCTCTAGTGACTAGCGACGGTTACTTTACTTTTTTCTTTATTGCCCATAAAAAATGAGTGCGAGTAATAAAGGTAGTGTTGAGAAAAAAGGCTCATCAAAGAGTCAAATAAATAAGAGAAAAAAAAAAAATCAAAAAGAGTACCAGGAGAACCTACGATATGAATTTTAAAATTATGATTGCAAACGAGGCAGAAAGAACGAACAACTTGTGTGCTTCGAGGAAATACGGAGTTCCAGAAGTCAACGTCCGCCTATGGAGAAAAGATTTAAGGAAATATAAGAATGCAAATTCTTCAAGAAAATCTTTTAGTGGACCTAAAAAAGAAGGTTTAATGAAGTTGAGCAGCAAGTGTTAAAATTCGTAATAGAAAAGCGAAATGAAGGGTGCCGAATATCCCGTGAAGTCATAAGATTTAAAGCATTAGAAGAGGCTGCTAATTTAAACATTCCTAGAAAAAACTTTAAGGCAAGTATGGGTTGGTGTAGAAGAATGATGAAAAGGAACGGTTTATCACTACGACGGCAGACAACTCTTGCGCAAAAACTTCCTGACGACTTTAATGAAAAATTGTTGGCTTATCAGCACCATGTTATATCATTATGCAAAAAGCACAACTACAGTCTTGGAAATATGGGAAATGCAGACCAAACACCAGTCTATTTTGACATGCTTTCCGACCTTACAGTAAATAAGAAAGGTGAAAAAAAAAAAAAACAGTCTTATTGAAGTCAGCTGGTTATGAAAAGTCCAGAATTACTGTTATGCTTGCTGTTACTGCTGACGAACAAAAGCTTTGACCTTACGTTATATTGAAACCTAAAACAATGCCCAAAGAAAAGCTGTGTCCTGGAATTGTTTTTTGGGTCCAAGAAAAAGGTTGGATGACAGAGGAGTTGGTATTAGACTGGTTGAATGTGATATGGGGGAAATGGCCAGGTTCTCTGAGAAACTCCCACTCCATGCTAGTCCTTGATGCATTTCGAGGCCACTTTACGACAAGTGTTTAGGAAAAAATTGAGGCATTGAATTCCGATCTTGTAATAATACCGGGTGGTATGACTTCTCAGTTGCAAGTCTTGGATGTGGTAGTTAATAAACCATTTAAAGAGAGTTTTCGAGAAGAATACAACAATTGGCTATTATCCGGCAATCATCCATTGACACCTTCAGGAAAAATAAAAAAAACCTCAGTTTCTCTTTTAGGAGAATGGATTGCAACTGCCTGGCAGAAGATCGAACCTGAATCGATAGTTAAAGGTTCCAAAAAATGCTACATTTCCAATGATTTAAATGGGACGGAAGTTGACATTTTGTGGGAGACTGAAAGCGTGAATGAAAATACCGATGATACTGATGTGACATCAATGAGTTCTCATTCTGAAAACAGTTCAGATTCTGAATAAACATTCTCGTTTTTTGTTGTTACTTACGTAATATTAATTTTGTTTTACATTACTTAATTTTATTGACATGAATGTAACCTGTATTATTAGCTATAATTACCTAAATAAATGCTTATCTGACTGAATTTTACTTTCTTTGAATTTTTACGAGTATTATTTTGTTTCTAAATATCTTTATGAAAATTTTGGAGTCGCGTTATATTCGGGCTAATACGGTATATCCTCATTAAAATTTTAAAAAATTTACTGTTACTGATCTTTGATTACATGCATAACTGCAAGTAATTATAAATATTTTGCTTGAATAAACTGCAGAGGAATAGCCTACAAAATAAAAGATCATCTCTGTGAAGAAACATTGTTATTGTATTCTGATGATTGGACACGACGGAAAGATGACAACTTAGTTTCTTTGATAGCATTTTTCCAACTTATGTAATTAAAACATGTTAGTTTTTCTAACTTCCCATTGAAAGAACTATTTGATATCATTATGCATTCCAATTCTAACTTTTATATTATTTATGTTAATATCTACCAAAGCATACAGTTATTGAGAAAACTTACCCCAAGCCCAAAGTGCAACAGCATTCCACTAAAATCAGAAAAAAATTTTATTAGTTTATATTTAACAAACATTTAAATGTATTATTATTATTTTAAATTTGTATAATAATAATTAACTTAATTTAATGTCTGTTTACAGTTTTATTAAATGTCTGTATCTATTAAATTCAAAATATACAAGTTTTAGAATACCATTTATATAATAATATGCAAAAAGAATTTATTTTTCAATATGAATTACCATTTAGAATTAAATGTTTTTCCAAACATTCACTTTTCTATGCAAAAACAAAATTTTGATAGAGAGAACTGACCTTTCAACACCACCTTTAACATTTTATAAGCTCTCTGCCTTGGAACTTATTTATTGCCTTACTTATATATGTTATGTTATATTTAGTTGTTATAACATATAATGAATGGATGTCATTTATTAAATGAATATATCAGAAGATAGGTCTTTGGAAAGACTCAATGGCTTTGTTAAATTTTGGCACTACACAGACCAAAAGTAGCTTCCCACCACTAATCAATGCACTATAGCAGGGAGCTGACATAAAATTGCAACATTAGCAATGTGAACCATGATGATTATGCATGTATCATGTAATTGCTCAGCATGTAATGTATTTTTTTTATTCGGTACCTGGAAACACCCAAGTATTAATTAAATGTTGAAAAAACGCTATGCATACAGTAGATGGAAACAGAAAAAAATCTGTTATCCAGAGTTACAGATTCACTAAGATGTAAAATTATGTTGATTTGGTAGGATGTGGCAAAAACTCCATTATTCCAAGAAATCCATTGTTCCACAATCCATTAAAATTAGATTTTACTGTATAACATTATTCATATATTACAAATGTTATACATTTAGAAATGTGATTTGTTGTAGAATAATATATCAAAAAATTTAACTGTAAAATTTTAATTGAAAATAGTATACTTTAGTTAATACTATGTGTATGGTGTATTGCTTATATTTAAATCACCCATTAAAATATAAATATAAAACCTCAAGTTGTCAACCAGTTTTCATTTTCATTTAATTTGATATATGTTAATAATCTTTATCTTTTAATCTAAATGTTATTGATTCATTTTATTAATTAATCTACTTGTGCAAATAAAAAAAAATTCAAGTTTATTCACAAATAGAAACATCTTTAATGGCTTCATGAAGTACTATAAGATTAATATCAAACATAAAAAAAGTAAAGGCTACAAAAATCCACTTATTAAACCCAAGATCCAAACAAATTAATAGTGGCTTTTCCTTGTACATCATACTTCTCCTTTAGCAAGAGTCACGCTGGTATATAGTTAATCAGGGACTCCTGCCCCTAATGTTTCCATATCTGGTCTCATCTTTCATCTATCTAATTCCATTCTTGAGATTAAGGAAACACAGATGGATGGACAGTAACAGTGGGAATTTATAGGTCTACAATTTTTTCAAATTGCAGCCCAATAATAATCTTATTTTTATGACAAATGCAAAAAAACATTTATGTTTGACTTTTAAATTTATATTTCTCTCTATATTTTAAATGTGGTACTAGCTATTAAGTATAAATTTTTATTTTATAGTAATTTTTATTGTTTTAAGCTAAAAAATATAATTTTTAGCATAATTATTACTATATGAAAAACATAAATCAACAATAAACATTTTTCCTCATGTAAGACTTCATTTCAAGGTGCTCCTAATTTTTTAAACAGAAGAAAATTCTTAAAAGGAAAAAGAAAACTTCTAATTTTGATTTAAATGTTTTAATTTTAAATCTGCTTGTTAATTGATTGAGATGCAAAATGAAAATTCCCAAATATACTTGTAAATCTTAATTTTATAACCATTATGAATCCATTCAGATTCAAAGGGATGGTAAAAAATTTATCTGTCACTACTGAGTTAGATCACCCATAAAGATTTCTTAGAATCTAACTGGAACCAGCTCTTCATGTATAGACACACTTTTTGCCACTAAAAGCACCAGGCAATTTTTTGGGAGACACATGCTATTAAAGAATATCACCACAAACTAAAAAATCATGCTTCTGTGCCAATAAAAAAAATTTAAGATGGTGTTCTTCTACAAATCAAGCAACTTGTCTCCTCGTCCCTGAACATCACTGAATATTAACAGGTTTTTGTCGTTCAGATGGGTAAGAAATTGATTTGTGTGTCACAGCCTTAACATGGAAAGCAATCTAATTTATTATTATGAATATATAATTAAAATAAATATAAATATATCAGAAATAATGAATATCCTGACAGATTAAAGGAATGTTTTCATCTCTAACAATTTACACTTTACCAGAACAACTTCTATTATGTCCTATAATATTCCAGTTTTTATCATCTTAATAGAAACTCTGTCATATAGTCCTTTGTCAAAGAAGTTAACTGTTGTTGATAGTATTGTTTACTAATAAACCTCACGTGTACCTCGCATTTCTTTATGCAGCGCTCGAGAAGCGCTTTACAGCGAACACACTGAAACTGGTTTCTAATTGGCCAACACTGCTCGTGACGTCATTTCGCTACATTCTCGCTACATAAAGAAACGCAGGGGTACAAGCAGAGAGAGATGACAATGCTGTTAATGATGTACTGTTGAGCACGAGGAACCCTCCATAGCTTTCTTTTCTCTTTGGCTAAACACTGTATTTGATTGTTTCCTTTCTCCACTTGTCTACTTATAGGTAAAACAAGAAACTGTTACATAATGTAGAAACAAGAATGTAAAAACTGTCAAACAATTTGATTAGTTGATTAAAACATTCTTATAATTTATTTTTAGATATATATTTGTATTGTAAGTGAAATACATGATCAAAAAATTGCAAAATGCTATATTGTTTTAAAACTATAATTATACATGGTGATCAAGCAAGAAGTTTACCTTAAAACAGTTAAAACAATAGAAAGAGCATTATCACAAATCAATCGTGCTCTTTACTGTTCTGCAAAGTTTGGAAGAAGACTTATGACCTTATTCATAACCAAGGATCAAGAGTTAGAGTTATAAGTTAACCAATTACAATTCACTTTACTTTTAGTACATGAACATTAATTTGTTAACTTCTAATGGCAAATTTACAAACCAATAGCAACATGGAGCAGTGACAGTGGAATTCCACACGCTAACTCTCGATTCGATAGTTGCAAACAGGACATTAATTTTGAACATTTATTTACTACAGACTTGAAAGATAACATTTGAAACGCTTTTGCTGGCATAGACCAGTCCACCCCTGGAAAGTAAACTTTTAGTTGGCAAGATTCTAGCTCCAAATAAGGCAGTCATTTGGTTTTATTCGTTTACAGCAATGTGACATACAAGCGATCCACCAAGAAAACGTCTTCGACAGTAACCGGCTCCTATTTAGGTGTTGAAAACCTAGCAAACTCCACCCGGCCAGTGGGCACGAGACAGACCTCATCAGAACCATACACCATGCCCATAGGAGTAAAAAAGTCAAAGAAGTCGACGGTCTACATGTGATCATTCAAAAGATCTAGACCCACAAATTTTACCCTCGTTAAACGCAACTTAATGGAGCAAGATTCGCATCATGCTCCGGGACAAGTCGGCACAACGGCATTTCTTGCATTTTGACAAACAATTACAACTTTTTTCGATTTAATTGCACCCATTTTGAAGATCTTCGAAAATCCAATTTCAAGGAGTACAATACACCTTGAGAAGGGTCACAAATAGACCATAGGTTCCTTTACTTTCTTTTACTCCTACGGGCACGGTCGACGGCCTCGATAACGTCCCAATCACCCGCCGCAAAACCTTACCAAATTTTGTCTCCGTCAAATCGCTGAAAATAGTAATTTGATAGAAATGGAGGATATAAGTGTAATAATCATAAGCAATAAACTGAAAGAGATTTATTATTATAATTGATGAATATTTATACAGAAATTAGTTCTTACTTTCTTCACTTCAAATCTTTTCTTGTCTGTCCTTGTGCCACTTGTGGAAGAAGGTACTTCGGGTTGTTCCAATTCCATTTCGTCGTCAATATCCATTGCAGATGCCATTTAACGAAATACGAAACTAATTTATAATCTACGATTCTTATATTTTCTACTCCAATATCGAAAAAAGGCTTGGGCACAATATGACTAGTCGTTTGGCCGAAAACGAAACGACGACAGCGACACACTTTCTTAATATCGAACGGAATAAGAATAAAATAATAATTTAAATAGAAATTTAAAAAATATTCTTATATTATTATTATTATTAAATGGCGTTTCAGTAATATTAATAAAAAGACATTATTTTATTTTTTAAAATAAACCCGACGTAAAATCGCTTAAGAGACGCTTGGAACGAAAACGCTATATTTCATATCGGGCGAAATAAAAATAAATAAATTAATTTTATTTGGTGAATATTATTAAATAGCGTTTCGGAAATGTTAATAAAAATGTTTTGTTAATTTATTTTATAAATTTTTGCGAGAAGAGAGATAGTTTGTTACGTGTTTTTATTTTTATAACTCTTTCCTCCTTGTGGGCACTAAAAGGGTCTTTTCTAACAAGCCTATTATGGGTTCGGCCAGGCCCACAATGGGGAAACCGGGTGGCGAAGGACAGGGGTCGACATATTCGAAAAATTACTGGAGATTTTTCGCCCCTTCCGGATCGATCCCGGGTCCCCCAGAGCGGTAGGCTGCTACCTTGACCGCTCGGCTATACGGCCGTCAAGTTTGTTACGTGTTATGTAGGAGACGCCTCGAATTAGGGTTGCCAGATTTGGCTTCTTTGCGCCTTATTTGTCTACCTTGTTTTTAGCAGAGTTGATATAGAAGAGGTGCACGTGACGTCACATGACTCCGCAACACAAAACCATAGTGACAAAAGAAAATTTAATGGTAATTATAAATACAACTTAAAATGTAACTAAATATAAAATTACATTCATCTTTATATTAACGCAGTTATGTTATGAGTAATGGAAAGTCTCACATGAAGATACGTACCTTTTCTACAAGCAAACTTAAATCATTACGAACGGCTTTTGATAAACTATCACGATGAATAAATTCGCTTGTCAAATAATTATGAGCATTGGGTGATTTCTATGCCTTCATCTGATCCAGTATGACAGCGTTAGTTGTTAAAGCCTAATAATTTACGTTCTATAGTTGACCACGTGGTTAAATCGTTAGATGAAAAATTCGTTTGTTTCATTTCGTATGGATCCCATCCAATAAAATAAGTTTTCTCTTTACATTTTATCAAATCATTACCCTTCAAATCGGCAGCAAAGCCAGGTAAATTCCTTTCTTTCGCGTTGACATAATAGTCATCAAGCAAGGTAACGTGAAATAAACAACCAATATGGCGAATGATTGGTTTGTTGGGCAGAGCGATGACGTTATATCACGTGACTGCACCCCCTCTATATATACAGGTCCTTGGCCCCCCCAGTGGCCTAGCGGTCTTCGTCCCCGGACTTGAGTGGCTTTTTTTCACTCTTCCCGCCATGTGGGCACTAAGAGGGCCTCTTTTTACAAGCCCATTATGGGTTCGGCCAGGCCCTCAATGGGGCTGCCGGGTGGTGAGAGACGACATATCCGAACGGACCACCCCCAAAAAATTCCTGGGGATTTTTCGACCCGTTCGGATTTGAACCCGGGTCCCCCAGAGCGGTAGGCTGTCACCTTAACCGCTCGGCCATCCGGCTGCTGACTTCAGTGGACTAGGAGTGGACCCTAAACACTGGGAGTTCGGTCGAGGGTTCGAGCCTCGCTAGGACGGGCTGGCAGCATGGGGTTTTCCGGATTTTCTTCATGTCGATGACGCCTGAATAAGGACCAGTTTCCCATACAAAAGTCCTCCCGAAAGGCATTCTTTCCCCGCGCACGTTTAGGCCGTTCTATAAGGCCGGTTCTTCGGTCGCCTAGCGATCATAACCTCGCTCTCTCGAAGTGTATAGCCTATATGTGCCGAATACTCCATATCAACCAACCAACAAAGAAATACAGGTCCTTTCGCTGCCAATAGCTCCAATTCTACGATACTGATGTAATAAACATTTCTGCCACTTCGAGCGCTTCAATCGCTTTACGGCGTAGGGGTAGTCAGCTGTAAACATTAGAAATTCTTTTAATACATGAGATTTTCTCGTTTTTAACTCAGATATTAAAGGACTGTTTATAAATATTATTTAAATTCGATTTTTAACATTATTTATTTGTAAACGTCGTTAATATTTATATATCTATTAACTGTCACTTTCATGAATTTAGACTTTAAATTGATTAGACCGTTTGTTTTTTGCTTACAATTTGTGTTCATTTTTAAATATTTTTGGGAGTTTTTAAAAATAAGAAAATATATGCCAACTAACTTTTTTTGACTGTCTATACATTATTAATATGGGATGTTGTCAGTGAAATTTTTGAGTGAGGAAGAAAAGGGATTGATGAGAGTCCTATACATTTACATAATTAAATTTATATAAACGTTAATGCAAGTGTAAGATAGGTTAAAGCAACGGTTCCCAATCTTTTTCGGGTGGCGACCCCTTTTTATAAAAGCCAAGTGACCAGCGACCCCGATACTATTCAAAAAGACATTTTTAATAAGGTAATTAAAAAAAACAACGAAATTAGTTTTTTAGTATAATTTTATTTTAAATTATGTCTAATAATTTAATGCGATTGTTGAAATTGTATGTTATTAACCAGCCTTAAAATTCGCGGGTGAGTTTTTGTTAACGCCAACCTCATGTCATTCTCAACATTTAATTTATTCCTCTCAAACTCTCAACACATGATTCAACCAACTGTGACGGAATAGCGTACCTATATTACACTTATTTTAATTTTTAAAAAATACAGTCGACCCCCCCTATAACACAATAGATACGTTCCGTTTTTTATGAAATTAATGTTTTAGGAGACCTTGCCAATCACAGCCCGACACGTGTGAAGTTTACGGACTACGGGTGTTTGAAAGGTTTTCTTCCATAAAATTAATCGATTCCTAGACTAATTCGACTCAACATTTCCAAAATACGTATATTTTTTGGGGAATAATCCGTATAAACTATGCTATAAACAAAAAATTGTAGGATTACTTACCGAGTGTGCACCGTTCGACGTCGCCATTGCTTAAGCTTGTTTTCGTCGCGGAGCAGCGCACCAAACGGCGGCCGCGTTTTCTGATAAATTATTTTTCTGCGAAAACTTCGTTGAACTTTGGAGACATCATTAATATAAATAATTTTTATGGCCGTTGAATAAGAAATGTTTCTTTCACAAGAAATGTATAAAATTACAGTACTGTATTAGACTTACGGTACCTAATTTACATACTGTACAGACGATAGTAAACTCAACTTACTCGCCTAAACTCTCCGTAGCGTGGCGCTGGACGGCGGAAAGTAGTTCGGCTGCCCGATGACGTTTTACCGAATTATAGGAGTTTTTTTTTACCATGTTTGTACGGATACCGTCGCAATTTTTTCGCCGTCATATTGGAATCCGAACTATAGGAACCCGTGTTATAGGGGGATCGACTGTATACCAAATTATTCAAACTTCAAGACACCATTAAAAATAAAAATTGCATTATAGTGAACATTTTTTTTAGTTAACTGTATAAGTTGGCGACCCCACAGAAAGCCCGTCGCGACCCCCTTCTGGGTCGCGACCCACAGGTTGGGAACCCGTGGGTTAAAGTATTACAAAAAGGGGATTCAGAGTGGATTTTGGAGTGTATTAAGCTTTAATTTTATGCTCATACTAGCTGTTACCCGCGACTTCGTCCGCAGAAGTTTTGCAAGCAAACCCCATTTACATTCAATATTTCAATAACCATAGTAATTGTCATATAACACCTACCGCTGAAGAGAATTGCCGAGAATCAAACCAACTATTTTCAATTTGATCAATTTTTTGGAACGTTTACAATCGTTCTATAATCGAACCAATATGCAATAACAAATTCGAATTTAAAACGGTTCGAACATTTTTAAAATTTAAATAGATAAAAATATTTATAACAATGTCTAAAATGTTATCAATTTAATACTCAATAAAGACTAAATGTAGTTGAAAACAAAAAATCGCATCTAAAATAGTAGAATAGAAGCCGTTCTTTCGGTTAAGCCTTAATGTTCTCCCTCACTCCTCGCGGGGGAATTTCTAAAAATCCCTTATTAGTGTGCATTGCCATGACTTACCCTAACTGTGTACCAAATTTCACCTCTCTAGGTTAAGCGGTTTGCTCTGGGCGATGATGAATCAGTCAGTCAGGACAAGCAATTTTATATACTGTATTTAGATTATTATTAGTTAAATTATTGTGGGATGCAGTGACAAAGGAGCTAGATTAATGAGATAGAGAGTCAAGCTATTCCAGTAATAGCTTAAGGATCTTTTCTGCTTAAGAAAATGCTAATCGACTAAACATTTATTCGAACCGTCACTCGCTAATTCGATACGTTATGTAATCCCATACTTCCCACGATATTTCTGAACCTTAAATTTCTTTTAAAGTACATTATATTAAGCATTCTTCTTCTTAAACACGACAGTGTAAGTTGGCGCTTGCCTGGACCAAGTTTTCTTTATCACGTGAATCTTATCTGCCTGTCTACTACAATAAGACTATACACTTTAAGAAATAAAATTATGCTGTAATAATTTCAATTATATTTATTTTAATTTATTTGCGTCAATGTCACATATAAATAATTTTATTTAAAAAATGTATAATTAGAAAAACAATTGACTTACTGTCATCGACGAGATGAAAGAAACTTAGCAATTGACAAAACCGCTGTTCAGATATAATTTCCCGAAACCACGAATTGGATTGGGTGGGAGAAGTGCACCAGTATATAGCGTAATCTGATGATTCTGTGCGACCCACATTTAAAATACACTCCAAAAACCCTTTCACCTCTGGAACAGAGACTTTGGTCCAGTTCTTCAAATAGGATGGTACGTTATTTCCCATGCCATTTAACACTTGCTGCGCATATCGATTGGTTTCCTCCACCATAAGAGACAGCAAAGTACTAGTGAAAAACACATAGAAATATGCGATATAAGGAGAATCTGGAGGTGGCATATGTTTTGGGCCAGGTACCTCACAAAAAGGAAAACGTTGAGCTACTTCTGGTGAAAAAACTTCCCGGTAGATCTCATCTTCCATTCCATTTTGTCAT